GCAGCCCGGCCCCGCTCCTGCCCAGGTGTGCCCACCACCCGCATGTGACCCCCTCCCGGGGCGCTGCCAAACGCCGCCCCGGCATTGGGCTGCCCGTGTTTGTCTGGGCAGCACCCTGTTAGTTATTTGTTCATCCCCTCCGCCGCAGCAGATCCCGCAGCCCGTGTCACCCGGGTGTGCTGGCGAAGCATCCCGAGCCGAGACGCACGAGTTTTCGCAGATTTTTTGACCCAGACTGTGCCGATGGAAAACGCCCGGTGGAAATAACCTGTAGCTAACCTGGTCCAAGACACCCCAGAAGCAAATCCCCCTGGGTTTTGCCTTCTCTCTTGGCTTAAGTAGCACCCAGGTGATGTGTTGCAGTGCAGGGAGGGGAGCTGCACCCCGGCCCTGGCAAAATGGTTGCATGCAGCCCGTCTTTTGGGCTGGGGATGGATGTCGAAAGCACAGTTCCGGTTCCCGTGGCTGGCATCGTGCCCGCCGCTGCTGCAAAAACCACTTCTCCAAAGGGTTTGCTCAGGGCCGCACAGCTGCCCACCGAGCTCCGGGAGAGAAACCGCAGGGCCCCCGGCTTGCCCAAGGCCCGATGCAATGGCTCTTTCGGGCTAAGGCGGTGCCCCTTCCTGCGTAGTTACTGAAATCCCTGGGAGCCGAGCGCGGGCAGGAGCTGGCAGTTGGCTGCACCTCGGCACTGCCTGGTTTTCTAGGGCTGGGGCAGCGGGGGAGATGAGCTGTCCCCGGCGGGACACGTCCCATCCCATAAAGGCCATGCCGACGCAGCCTGGGCGATGAGATGGGTGTCCCCGCCAGCCAGCTGGCGAGGGGAGGGTACGTACGTCTGTTGCTGACGGCTTGTCTCTGCTTGTAAATCAGGAGCAAGATGAGGGGCAGGCAGAGGATGCCCACGATGCAGGCACCAGTTGCCAGCGCAGCGGCCGTGATATCTGCAACAGAAGGCGGCAGAGCTGGAGCAGGGGAGGGTTCGCCTTGCGTTTCCTTGGTTTCCTCAAGCCGTAGCAGAAGCACGGGGCAACACTGGCGTTGCCCCATGCCCGATGCAACACGGCTCCTGCACCCACGGGAGGTCCGCTCCTAGCGGGATTCGCGCTGGGATGCACTGCCGGTTGCAGAGATAAGCTCTGAGGCATCGGTTTAGGACCTTGACCGAAGTCCTTCATTGCTGGAGGACACCTCAAGGTCTTTCCTTGGTCTTCTAGATATGAGGAGAGAAGCAGGGGCCCTGATAAAACTCTCTGAAGTCAGCAGAAAGGTTCTCAGTGATTTCAAGCAGTGCCAAGCGCAACCCATGGCCGGCTCATCGAAATCGGGCTGCCTCAAAGTACTCGGGCATCAAAGGGCTCACTACCCAAGGCTGCTGCTAATGGACGTGTCCCTGGAGAGCTCTACTGCGGAGGCTCCCCAGAAAGGCTGGTATGTCTGTGGCCAGAGAGGTCCATGTGGGACGGCTTGCGGCAGAGTCAAGGGCTGCCTAAATTAAGGGCAGGTTCGGCGCAAGCCATCCTCTGCAGCACACCCACCTGGGGAAGCAGCTTCTTGCTCCGGGTGTGTTTGCAGGGAGGGATTTTTTTTCCCCTTTTTTACCCAGCATTTGGGACCGAGTGAGACAGCAAGCACTACTCAGGAGGAGGACGGTGCAGCTTCTCGTGGCTGGGCTGGCCCCAACCATGCTGCAAAGCCAATTTTAGCAAAATCTGCCCATTTAGCAGCCAGCTAATGGGGTAGACAGAGCGGCCCACCTGCATAGCAAAGTGTGGGCACGTCCAGCGTCTAGACACAGCCTCATGTTGTCTGAGCGCTCAAGCAAGATTTGGGTTTCCCCTGCTAGAGCATCTCTGCTCGGGGCGAGGTGGCAAGGGCTCGGGATGACGGCGGGGTGTTGCAAGAGGTTCCTGTGGCTTTTTACCTTTTTGTTGCTTCCCATCTGCTCGTGGCAGCAGTCGCTAAATCCCCAGTCGTGTTTTGGGGAGGGCTGTATAACCGCGGGATGAATGATCTCCGTGGCCTTCAGGACAGTCACGTCCAGGTGACGTGGACACGTGGGCCAAAGGAGGCTCTCCTCAGCCTGAGGACATGCCTGTCAGATCCACCCCATGGGGATAGCCTCAGAAACCACCCTCCCAACACCCAGCCGTGGCGTTGCATCTGGACACCGCTGTGTTTATAGCAAGCGGCCATCCCTAGGGAAATACAAGGGCCAGGGTGGAGAGCAGTGCATCGGAGAGAGGGAGGTTTTCTTCCCTTTACCTTTGCTGTTGGCAGTGTGAAACGTGCAGTTTTGAAGCCCTCCTCTGCCTGCGGAGGAGAAGAGAAAAGCGTGTTAGATCTCAGGGGATTCGCTCAGGTACCACAGAGCTCCCGCACCCGCTAGTCGCGCTTGCCTTTGCTCACCGGTATTGAGAAAATCAGACCAGAGCTTCCCAAAAGCAAGAGTTTAATCCTGGGAAGCTTACACCGAGATTCCTGCTCCTTCTGCAAGACCCCTTTTCCCCCCCTGCGGCAGGGCGCGTCCCTGTCCTTGCAGGCTCTTCTTTTTCTTTTTTTTTTTTTTTTTTTGGTCTGAAAGAAAAAGTATCTACCCTAACGCAGCAAATCAAGGGCAGGGGATGCCTCCCCCTCCAGCTCACACCTCCCTGGGCAGCTCTCCCTGCTGGGGAGGTTATCTACACGCCCTGCAGCCCAAGCGCTGCCTGCAGCCCTCGCTCAGGCTTGGACCGCCAGCCAGCTCCTTGTTATGTTGAGGTTTGTTTTCCTTTCTTCCAGAAAGAGGTTGAGGAAGATCAGTGAAACTATGTAGCACGGATTTTACTGCGTTCCAGGCCCTTGATTTATTTTTTCTCTCTTTTTTTTTTTTTTTAATGTTCCAGTGCTCTCTGGCCCCGGTTCAAACCTTCAACATCTGCTGCTCTTTGACTCTCGCAGCATTGGCGTGGGCTTTCAGCATCAGCACGCCCTGCCTCTCCAGCCCCGATGCTGCACCCCGGCATCCCCCACCAGCCCTTATCCGCCGCCTTGCCCCGACGCGCCCCGGCATGGATGGGGGGCCAGGCAGGTGCTCCGCTTGCCCCCCTCACCTTGCTGGATCTGCAGCTCCACGAAGCCGTGAGCGACCTGCAGGGTGTGGGGCTTGCCGTGCTCCCGCCTGGCCTCCACGGCGTAGCAGCAGTAATTCCCGCTGTCCTGCAGCGTCAGGTTCATCACCATGATGTGAACCACTCCGTGATGGCTAGCTTGCCCCCCGAGGGGGGATTTTTGGGTGCCATTGCCCGGCAGTTCGTGGTGCCTGCCCAGGTCGTGGTGCAGCTCCTTCTCGGTAACGTTGCGGATGTGTTTCTTCTCGGAGCAGCTCTGGTCGCCGTTGCTGCTGAAGTACCAGGTTTTGTAGAGCAGGTCGTGGCGGTCGGCGAGGGGACCGCTGATCCGGCAGGTCAGGGTGACGTTCTGGCCCTCGGGGCAGACGCAGAGCGAGTACGGGGTGGTGATCAGGAAAGCTGCCGGCCCTCCTGCCGGGAAAAAGGCACGGCGGCTGGGGGAGAGCCTGCAGCCCCGCGCCTAACC